AGACCAGGTACGGTCTGTACGAGTTTGTGGTGATGCCTTTTGGCCTTTGCAATGCTCCTGGCACGTTTCAACACGCTATGAATCGGATATTCCATGACTACTTGGATAAGTTTGTCATCGTGTACCTCGATGACATACTTATTTTTAGTAAGACTGTCGAGGAGCACGTTGCACACTTGGACAAAGTCCTCAGTCTCCTGCGACAACACAAGTTCAAGATCAACGGTGAGAAGTGCAAGTTTGGCCGCACCCGTGTCTTGTACTTGGGTCATGAGATCTCCGCGGAAGGATTGAAGCCCGATGACGCGAAGGTGGCCAGCATTCGTGACTGGCCGCGACCTCAGTCTGTGACTGAGATGAGATCTTTCTTAGGGATGACAGGCTACTACAGAACTTTTGTAAAGAATTATAGCGTAGTGGCCGCTCCTTTGACTGATCTGACCCGCCTTGACACCCCGTGGGAGTGGACAGATAAGTGCGAGACTGCTTTCAGACATCTGAAGCATGCGTTGACGCACTATGAAGTCCTGAAACTTCCTGATCCTGACAAGCCGTTCATAGTAACCACGGATGCTAGCCAATATGGCATTGGCGCCGTGCTTGCACAGCAGGAGGGGCCAAAGTTGAGGCCAGTTGAGTACATGTCAAAGAAGATGTCATCTCAGAAGTTGGCAAAGTCCACCTATGAGAAGGAACTCTACGCCGTGTACAAGGCTCTAACCCATTGGAGGCACTATCTCCTTGGGAGGTTCTTCATCCTCAGGACTGATCATCAGACCCTGAGATGGATGAGAACGCAGCCAGTACTTTCCGACGCCCTGAAGCGTTGGATTGAGGTCATTGAGCAGTATGACTTCGACCCCCAGTATTTAAAAGGGGAGTACAACAAAGTGGCTGATGCCTAGTCGCGTAGACCTGATTTCTCAAGTGCGCTGATTACTGAGTTCGAGTTAAATGACGACGTGACTCTATCATTGGTGGAGGCCTATCGAGAGGACCAATTTATGTCAGAGATCATCCGCAGACTCGAGGCGAAGGACAAACAGGCTTCAGCCGAGTTTGAGATGGTCAATGGCTTGTTGTTTCTCGAGAAGGAGGGGAATAAACGATTGTGTGTCCCTAGTAGCGAGTCTTTGTGTAGTTTGTTTTTAGGGGAATGTCATGATGCCACCGGCCATTTTGGGTACAAGAAGACCGCAGCCAATTTGCTGCAAAGGTTCTGGTGGCCCACGATGTTAAAAGATGCTAAGCTGTACATGGAAACTTGTCAAGTTTGCCAATGAGACAAGCCCCGTACTCAGGCTCCTCTTGGGCTGCTCAAGCCCCTTCCGATTCCGGAAAGGCCGGGTGAAAGCTTGTCCATTGACTTCATGGATACGCTGGTCACCAACAAGAGTGGGATGAGGCAGATCTTCGTCATCGCGGATAGGTTTAGTACGTATGCTAGGTTAATAGCCATGCCGGAAACAGCGAAGACCGAGTATGTAATCAGGCTGTTCAAAGAGAACTGGGTGAGGGATTTTGGATTGCCTAAGTCTATTATAAGTGACAGGGATGTCAGATTTACAAGTGAGTTATGGAAGGCCGCTGCAGCTGAACAGGGAACTCAACTGCAAATGACTTCTGGAAACCACCCAGAAGCAAACGGCCAGGCTGAACAAATGAACCGCGCTGTTCAACACCTGTTGAGGCATTACATTAAGCCCAACCAGGTGGATTGGGACGAGAAGCTTGCTTTTGTCGCCAGTCTGTACAATAACGCTGTACACAGCGCTACCGGGGTAAGTCCTAACAGTCTACATCTTACCTTCAGGCCTAGACTGCCTTTAGACTTCCTACTTCCTGATAACCAGCCAACTGTTGCACCACGCACTTTGGAGTTTGCTTATCGTTACGAACAGAAAATACAGGAGGTTGTAGAGCACATGCAGAAGGCGCAGGCAGCAATGATAGAATCTGAGAATAAACACCGCCGCCCTTCTACATTTCAGGTTGGGGACAGAGTCTGGGTCAAGTCTTCAGAATTGGGACAGGAGTTCGGGATATCCCGCAAACTCATGCCTCAGTACTTTGGACCTTGGGGATCCTGATGGTCCATCTTATGTCATCCGTATCCCTGGTCACCTCAGAACTTACCCAGTCTTTCACGCCTCTAAGCTCGTTGCGTCCAAGGAAACTGATCAGCTTCCCTCTCGTCGGTCAATGCTGCCCCCAACCATGGACGGAGAAGTCGACATCGATGATATCGTCGACCACAGGGAGATGCCTGTTCAGAAGCCTCCGGGAAGGGGACGTCCTCCAAAGCCAAAGTTGCAGTTTCGTGTCCACTTCAGACATCACACAAATCCGAAGGAGGACCGCTGGTTTACTCGGGAGGAATTGATGCAAACCGCTCCTCAAATCGTTGCTCGCTATGAGAAGGATGTATTGAAAGGAAAGCGCCAGATGGCTGAGGATTGATCTTCTCAGAGGACTAACGAAGATATGGAGGAGGGAATGCGAGGCTACGCCCGCTCAGCCCCTTTCTGGGGCCCTTTTWGCAGCACGTCGGCCGCCCTAAGTGAAGGCAGGCGCGACAGGCCCTCAGGGCCTCGATTTTCAGGGTACCCCGCAACTGGGGAAATTCAGACAGTTGCGCTGCGCCAGTTGGTTGAAGGCGCCCAGGCCCAGGCCATATTTTGCAAATGTATCTGAATGGTGACCTGGGCCAGACGCGTCCGAAAGGCTGTAAGCAGGCCAAGGGCAGTTGGGCACATGCAACCATCAGGGCCTGGGCCTGCGTGTGAGGTCTGGGCCTGTGCCTACTGGGGCCTACCGGAATCTTCTTGGGAAAGGCCAGACGCAGCCTGGGCAGAATACGGGCAGGCCACTTCCATATAGCAATGGGCCTGCCTCCGCATTTGGTATTCGGGTGCTGGCTGCATGCTGTGCGAGCGCTGCTGCGCTAATTGCTGGCTGGCTGGCACTCACGCTCTCACGGGCGAGCAGGAAGGAGCGGGCAGCCATAGCCGAGCTGCTCCGCTGTGAGCTGSGTGTRGCGCAGGGTGGTCCTTGGGTGCTAGTGGCATCTGTGTGGTGTGGATCGGGGTTGTGAGTGTGGCGAGAGACATACCTGGTGCTGGAAGCGTGCGGCATTGTCCGCTGTATGCTCGTACTTCAGGAAGCTGTTGTTGTCAACATCGGCATTGTAGTATTAGGCTAGATAGGATCTGCCACATGTAGTCTGGGCGTCGAGCGCCAATAGGATATCAACTCTTGTTCTTCGTTGATGATGATGAGAGACTATTTCAGCATTGTCAATTACAAACTATTGGTGAGTTCTTATTTGGTGAATCTCGTGATGCATTTCTGCTGTTGGTTCGAGGTCAAGACTATCTGGACTCATATGTATAATGCTGTTTGATTGCTGGAGTTCGCTAAATGTCATGTTTCCCTTCTCCTTTCTTCGAGTGAACCTCTGAACTATATCCCCTCATCATCAGTCATACTTTTCGGCCTCGATTAACCTTCCCGCGAACGGATGTGTCCTTCCTTCCACTGGCTGCTATCCCCCCGTGATTTTGCAGCTTTAGCTATTGGACCTCTTCACCTTGCCCCCTCTGGAGAATGTCGACTTGTTTCCTTGGTTAGGATAAACATCCGATGTTTGGTTGTGTCTTCCCTTCTTTCTGGACCGTTGTGACGTTTCCCATGCCTCATTCATCTTCGACCTGTTATCAAGAGTTTATGCTCCGTTCCTGTTCGCCATGACCCCTCTTGTGTATACCTTGTCCCCATCCTCTATTGACCCTTCTTTTTATCTGTTCCCAGCGTGTGTTTGGTCTCGTTGGGATCTCCTGGTCATATCCGAATTATGCCAGTCCTTCCAGCAGATCCGGTCGTTACACAATTCTGCCACCTTCCCTTCCAACAACCAGAATTTATCCTTGATTTTTATCCGCTGGCTTTCATCTTCCGGTAGTGACTGCTGTAACTTTCGCCATCTGCAGAGTATTTCGGCTTGCATTAGGGTCCTTGTCTCTACCCATACCTTTTCTCTTGAGTTGGCCACGCCTTCAATAGTCCTGCTGCATCTTTCTTTCCATATAATCCACAGCGTTACCTTCCTGATGAGGCCGAACCACAACCTTTCTGTTTTTTTTAGTTGGTCAGGAATGTCAGTCCAGAGTAGAAGCTGAATAGGTAGTTCCGGGAAGGTGATGTTAAAGAGGAAATCCCAAAGTGCCGACGCCCTCGCCCAGTATTTTGTTGCTTCCTTGCAGTGAATGAGACAGTGAACCAGGTCCTCCTGGATTCCATCAGGGCAGAGTGCGCATAGTTCTGAGCTAGTAGGGTCCTTTTTGTGATGTCGTATGTGAAGCCAATGGTTGACCGGCAACGCAGCGTATGTAATTAGCCACTGAAGGCTTCGGATCTTCACCGGTCTCATGGACTTAAATTTCTTCCACGGGATGTGAGACAGTTTATCTGCCTCGTGGCCTAATAATTTCTGCCATCTGGCTCTTATTATTGGTTCTGAATTTTTTGTTTTGACTAAGAGCTTGTAGCCAAATTTGACTGTGTAATTTTGTATGGGGGTGTGTTTTAATGTTTTTTTCCGCCGGATCAAACTCCAAATTCCTTACTGCCATGTCTGGTCTGAAGATTTGTTTGCGCCATGAGCCTATAACTCTCACTTTCCTCAGTAAGAAGAAATCCATTACTATTGTTTCCACATTTTGGTTTTCGACTGCTGACCTGCCTTGTTGTGAGAGGGTTGTCGGGAAGGAGGAGAAAACGACTTTAGTGCTTGAACCCGGTTGCATGTGTGAAAATTGAAAGGCGCGGAGTGGGTTAGTCTCTTGCACTTTGATCCCCCATTCTCCAAATTTCCATGGGGTAGCTTCCTTCAATATATCTTTCCAAGCCTGAGGGATACAATTGATGACGTGCAGGAGGTTAGGTCCTCGGCGATGGCAGCCCTGCTCTTGTTCAGTCATCCAGCACTTGCCCTCCTCGTTCCATAGGTGCCCTACTGTCTAGACCCCATTCTTGACCCATGAGAGCCATTTGTGGTCTAGATATATTGGATTGTCATTTTCTTCTCTTATCCAGTCGTTTCCAAAGAGTGGTTGTCTTAGCACCTCATCAATGGAGACAGGTTTGTTCTTTTTTGATGGGAACATTTCTCTGCAGATTCTGATCAAAGCGGACCAGTAGGATGTAGAGTGTCTTGTCGTGTCTGATTCTGTTCCTCTTCTAGAACTTCTGCCTCTTGGACGTAGGTTCCATTCCCTATTCATAATCCATAATAGACCTAACATGTTTTCTGGTGAGGGGACTGGGGCCAGCGCCCTAATTCTGTCCAGCACCAGATCATTCCATGCATTATCTGGTCTGATTAGCAGTTTTACTATCCATTTTGCTTGTAGGGCTTTTGTTTCAGTTCTGTGGTCTATAATCCCTAGACCCCCCTGCAACGGTTTCCGAATAATATATTGCCATGCTATCTTAGGGATAGTCTCGGTTTTATTGGGATTACCCGACCATAAATAGGTCCTTGCTATGCGGTTCAGTTCCTTCATTGAATTACCTGGTATTATCCATATGGAGGCTATGTACCACATCATGGAGAACACCGATGTGTTAAGGATCATGGCGCGCCCGATTAACGAAGTGAAGGAATTCCCCCAACTCCCTAGTTTATTTATTTGTTTCGTCAGTATGTTTTGGGCCATCCGGGGTGCCAGTCCCTCCCTAGTCATAAGTATGCCTAGGTATCGTGTGGGCGTGTCAGGTGTCTCCCACGCCATTGCCACCTCCGGTCCTTGCAAGTTGGGTGTCTCTTCTTCTGATAGCCACCATCCGATTGTCTTGCCCCAGTTTACCCTCATTTCAGATGCCAGCTTGAATGCTTTCATTGCTTTAACTAACGTTTTGAAAGAGGAGTCGGAAGCTCTTATCAGGACTGTGAGGTCATCGGCGAACATGATTGCTGTTGGAAACTTCAGGTGGTGAGCTGATCCGCTGTTGACTTCAGGGAGTCTGTAAATGGACGGGTCTTTTCGCAGGAAGGACGCTATGGCCTCCATTACAAACAAGAAGATGGAGGGTGCCAGCGGGTCTCCTTGACGAACGGACCGGGAGATTGGGTAGCTATCCGATAGAAAGCCGCTCACTTGTACACAACCCATGGCATCCTTATATAATATACATACCCATTTTCTAAAGTTGGGTCCCACGCCCATTCGTTCCATGCTCGCATCCAAAAAGGACCAATTGACTTGGTCGTAAGCTTTTTCAAAATCAAAGAAAAGGATTGTTGTGTTTATTTTTCTTTGTCTGATTTTATTCACTGATTCATTTAGGGTCATCACATTGTCTAGTATGTAACGCCCCGGAATGAATCTTGTTTGATCTATGTGGAAGCATTTATCCGTTATTTTCCTGATTCTGGTGGACAGGGTTTTGGCTCAGATCTTGTAGGGAAGGGTTAGTAGTGAGATGGGCCTGTAATTTCTGATGTCTTCTTTGTCGCCTTTTTTGTACAGCAGTGTAACCACGCTGCTGCTCAAGAGATTCCCCAGACCCCCTTTGTCCCAACTGTCCGCATAAAAATTCATCAGGTCTCCCCCTAGAGTTGGCCAGAATTTTACCCAGAATTCTTTGGTTAGCCCGTCTATCCCGGGGGGCGAATACTCTTATCTGATTTCCGAATTTTTTTCCTTCCCAGTCCTATGATTTGCACTACCTGATAATCATTGGCAGTCTCAAGTTCGAAATTTTTTTTTTCTCTCTCATTGATACTTTCGCACTTCAAGGAAGGTTGGGAGACCTACTGAACTAGCAAAACTCGGGATTTTGATTTTTCTCGATTTTTTTTTTTTGCAAAGTTCAAACTTTTTTTTTTATTAGTAGCACCTTATCTGGGCGATTTATCCCCACCCACCCCTCCCCACCTATGTTGTTGCCCCCTCTCGTCTTACCTTCTCTATCTGTCTCCGGGTACCCCCTGCGGCGACATTGGTGAGTTGCCACGTCAGCAGACCACGTCAGCAGGCCACGTCAGCAGACCATGTCAGCGGACCACGTCAGCAGGACACGTCAACAGGCCACGTCAACCGACAGCGGTGCCACGTCAGCAGCAGGGAGCACCACGTCAGCAGGCCCCTGGCCTGGTCTATGCCTTTGCGCTCACAAACAGCCGTCATGGACCAGAAGTACGGGGAAACGGACGAGGACGCTTCTGATTACTGAAGCTAAGCAACCGTCGGATGCAGTGGCAGCCGCAGCAAAGAAGAAGGAAGAGGACGTTGAGAAGACACGTCTGCTGGCAATTGAACAGCAGCGCCAGCATGACAAGGCAGCAGCAAAGGCTGCCGATGAAGAACGAGTTCAACGTCGTGAGAAGATATTCAGCGGAGAGCAAGCTTTGCTCACAATGGCAGCAGATTAACGGGCCGAGGCCGAGAATGGCAAGATGGAAGAGAGTGAAAACAAGATCGCTCTACTCCTCTCCCATCTCATGGACCTCCTGGCAACATGCATTACACAGCAGGAGGACATCCACAGCCTCGACGACTCGCTGACTCAAGTCCACAGCCGCATCCGGCAGCTGGAGCAGCAACCCGTCGTCGCCCCCGATGCCAGCTCTTCCAACACCTTCGATCGCCTTGAGGCACTGGAGATTGACGTCGGCTCCCTCAAGGACGGCGTGCAGTTACAGCAAACCGCAACGCAACAGTTGGAACAACGGATCTGCACTGCCGCCAACCACTCGAGTTCGGAATCGCGTGAGACAGCTCCAAAGTTCGACGGGCAGGAGATCTTCTGCGACTCGACGAAGACAGACCCGATTTCTATGGTTCCGCAAGTTCGAGCTCACGTTGTGGCTACACTACGTCAAAGAACACAAGCACCACGGGTACTTATACTCCCAGTCGGGGGGCGTGTGCCAAGCATGGTTGGACAATCTCTTGTCCAAGTACGGAGTGGTAGCTGCCGACTTGCATACCAAGATCAACTGGGATGATCTAAAGGCGGCGTGGCATAAGCGATCCAAGTAGAGCCGCCGGAGATCAAGGCAATGGACAAGCTGATGGTCTTCGAACACGGCACGCTGCCGAGCGTTGACTGGATTGCCGGGTACCAACGCTTGACATCCGTCCCAGACATTCAAATGGGCTTCAAAGCCATCAAACACCACTTCATCTCGAGGTCGTGTCCAACATTGGGCAATGCCTTGACGCACGTCCAGACACCGGCAGAACTCTTCGACAAGGCCGCACAGATTATTGTCACGAACAAGGAGGTCAAGAACCTCCACCGTTCGTCTGCGACAGACCCGAGCAAAGATCAGCATCGGCCGAAAGTGGCCATGGTCACGGCGGCAACGCCAAGCGACCAAATTAGCGAGGCCGTGTCTGCCAATGAATGGGACAGACTCGCAACCGCCCGGGAAGGTGGCCGCCCTGGCAAAGGCCGAGGACGCGGCAAGGCGAAGACAAACACCGCATCTAGCCCCGGGTCCGGCGCAGCAGCTCCAGCCCCATGGTCCCATTACAGTCTCTCTGAATCGGTGTACAAGGCACGCACGAGATTCCGCTATTGTCTGTGGTGTAACAGTGATCTCCATGACACAATGGCCTGCCAGTCCAAAGGCAAGGGCAAATCGGGAAACTGAGCACCGCCAGGAGTGACTCGATGACACTCTCGACGCCTTCGGAACCGGTCGCTTCGCGGGTGACCGCCCTTCGTTTCGAGGCACACGTGGAAGTCGATAGTCCTCCTCTTTTTTATTCTTTTGAGGACTATGCTGCCTGGCTCGTTCCTACGCTGGGGACTCATGCTCAAGGACAAGACGTGTGTGCGGCATCTTCTCCGTCCGACAACGACAACTTATCGTCTTCAAGTGGTTCTTCACGAGATTCGGCGCGCGAGTTCAACATAGAGGTATTGGACCCGCTCACGTCCGAGGATTTCGCATGGCTTCCTCTCCCGACCACGGGCCGCTTGTCGGGACCGCAATGCGCAGCATTATGCGCTCATCTTCACACGTACTTATCCTTCTATGCACCACCAACTTCGCCGATGGATGACGAAGTTGCGGTGAGGGACATCCTTGCGCATGTTACCAAGGTGGCCCGCGAGTTTCGCAATCAGCGGTATGATGACAACAACGCACCGCTCCTCTATGTCCGCATCCAAGTTGGGCAAGCGTCCTGCAACGCTTTGCTGGATAGCGGCGCGTCTCGCAATTTTATGAGCCAAGCCTTCATGCAAAAGGCTAGCCTTGGCGCACAAGTTCGAAGGAAGGCAAACCCGACGGCGATCAAGTTGGCGGACGGAAGGACCCAGCAACTTATCGACCGCTACATCGAGGCCGTACCGGTGTATTTCGCACCTCATGCACGCGAACCGGTGACATTTGACATTTTGGACACGGACTTCGATATTATTTTGGGAATGCCTTGGCTTGCAAGTGCGGATCACACGGTCAACTTCCACCGGCAGACTCTTACCGTTCGCGACGCCTTCGGCACCGAAGTGTTGTGTACTATTCCTCTTCCGCACCCTTCGATTCAGTGCCAAGTGGTGACGGCCAAGTCATTCCGGGCTACTTGTGCTTACGAGCAGCCCGACGAAATCGACCTATGTTTCCTACGGACCGTCGCGGTAGCCGACTCTTCACCCACGGACTTGTCTTCGGACCCTCGTGTGGTGCGGTTGCTTGACGAGTTCGCCGATATCTTCGAGTCACCTCCCGGTGTGGTGCCGGATCGGCCGATCTCTCACGAGATCATTCTTGAGGCCGGTGCCGTGCCGCTGAAAGGTTGTATTTATCGCATGAGCGAGGAGGAGCTTACGGTTCTCCGCGCGCAACTCGATCATTTGTTGGATAAGTGTTGGATCCGCCCTAGTAGCTCTCCATACGGAGCGCCGGTTCTCTTCGTACGGAAGAAGAACAAGGATCTACGATTGTGCATCGACTACCGCAAGCTCAATGCGCAAACCGTCAAGAATGCGGGGCCTCTTCCTCGCATCGACGATCTTCTTGAGCGACAGGGCGACGCAAAGTATTTTTCCAAGTTGGATTTGAAGTCGGGATATCATCAAATCTCCATCCGACCGAACGATCGTTACAAATCTGCGTTCAAGACACGGTATGGGCATTTTGAGTGGGTGGTCATGCCTTTTGGCCTCACCAACGCCTCGACGACCTTTCAAGCGGCAATGACCAACGAATTTCGTGCAATGTTGGACCGGTTCGTGCTGGTCTACTTAGACGATATTCTTGTCTATAGCCGGTCATTGGAGGATCATCTTGAGCATCTTCGACGAGTGTTGGAGATGCTCCGCCGCGCCAAGTACAAGGCCAACCGCGACAAGTCCAGCAAGAGTTGGAATACTTGGGCCATTTTGTCACACCGGAGGGCATCAGTCCGCTATCGGACAAGATTCAAGCCATCCAAGAGTGGTCGGAGCCGCGGTGCGTCACGGATGTCCGTTTGTTCCTTGGCCTTGTCGGCTACTACCAACGTTTTATCAAGGGATACTCGAAGATCGCGGCCCACTTGACCCAACTTCAATGCGAGGATCGACTGTTTGACTTCGGAGAGGACGCGCGGGAATCATTTTTGGCTCTCAAAGCCGCGCTATTATTTGTGGAGGTCTTGCGCATATACGACCCGCTTTCGCCTACGCGCGTCACTACGGATGCGTCCGACTATGGCATTGGTGCCGTCCTCGAGCAACACGATGGCGTGGACTGGCACCCGATCGAGTATTTCAGCAAGAAAGTGCCCCTCGTGCACTCCATTGACGATGCACGCAAGAAGGAGTTCCTCGCCTTCGTCCATGTGCTCAAGCAGTGGCGGCACTTCCTCCTTGGTCGAAGCCAATTCCGATGGGTAACGGACAACAATCCGTTGGTCTTTTACAAGACCCAAGACACCGTCAACAACACCATCGCTCGATGGATGGCTTTCATCGACCAATTCGGCTTCTTTCCCGATCACATTCTGGGAAAGTCGAACCGTTTTGCGGATGCTATTTCACGGCGTCCGTATCATTGTACCGCAGTCTATTCAACCTTCGAGATCAACAACGACCTGCGGGACAGCTTCATCCGCGGCTACCAAACCGACCCCGAGTTTCGAGACAAGTACGCGAATTGCTCCTCTCCTAATCCGGCGCCTTCTCACTACCGGATCCAAGAGGGGTACTTGCTTGTCCACACACGGGGGAAGGACCTTCTTTGTGTACCGAGTGACCCTCACTTGCATACACGACTTCTTGGCGAGTTCCACGATGCTCCCGCCACCGGACACTTTGGAGTCAATCGCATGATTGGCCGACTTCGCGAGCGATTTTGGTGGTCCGGCCTTCTCGGCGACGTCACACGGTATTGCGAGTCATGCGCGGTTTGCCGACGCTGCAAATCCCACAACCATCGTCCATACGGCGAGTTGCGACCATTACCGGTCCCCTTGCAGCGAAGGGAAGCGATTGCCATGGACATTATCGGCCCGTTCCCCAAGCACAAGACCGGCGTGGATGGGATTCTCACGGTGGTCGACCGACTCACCAAGTTCGCAATGTTTTTGCCTTGCCGCTATCATGCCAAGGCACCGGAATTGGCCGAGGTTCTTTACGCCGGTTGGATTCGAACCAAGGGTTACCCCAAGGAAATCGTCTGCGACCGCGGCACTCGGTTCATGTTCGATTTTTGGTTGGCACTCATCAAACGATAGGGCTCATCTCTCAAGTCAAGTTCGGCTAGCCACCCCCACACCGATGGCCAAACGGAGAGGGCGCATCAGACCGCACAGGTTCTCCTTCACACTCTCATCCGCCCCGACCAAAAGGATTGGGTTGAGCGGCTGCCGGATTTCGAGTTGGCCTACAACTCGTCCATCCACCCGGCTATCGGGATGTCGCCCTTCGAGTTCGAGCACGGCTCGTCGGTCACTTCGCCGTTGGACACAATCATTCCACGAACGGCCGAGAGCGACGACCATCTTCTTTTCTTGCGTCGGATGCAAGAGCTACTTGTCAAGGCACGCGACCAGATGGCCAAGACGCAGCAACGCATGATTCAACAGGCCAATCGCCAGCGTCTTCCTTGCCCATTCTGCGCCGGCGATCTCGTTTGGGTTTCCACCTCAGAATTCAGCCTTGAACAAGATATCTCTCGCAAGCTCCTCCCGAAATGGATGGGACCCTGCCCGATCGTGGCACCCGCTGGGGATGCACCTGAGGGGCCTTCCTTCATTATTCAGGTGCCCGCCCAATTGCCCGTCTACCCATTCTTTCATTGCTCCAAGTTGGCTCTTTACACGCCAGCGGAACACGACAATTTTCCCGGGTGACGTTCGCAAGACCCACCCTCTATGGACGGTTTTCAGGAGGTCGGCAACATCATCTCCCAGCGACGCTACAGCAACAGGCAAACCGAGTACTTGGTACATTTTGCGTACTGCACTCACAAAGCTGACTGTTGGTTGACCCATGCAGAACTCCAAGCAACAGCTCCGGATGTTCTTGCACGCTGTGAACGCAAAATGCAAGGCAAGCTGGTATCTTCAGCTCCACGTCGCACCTGCGTCCAGGTTCCACCTTCATATCGTCAACTTCGCCCTCGACCCGGCTTGACTTCATAAGGAGGGGGGAGTGTTACATGCTGCGCCTGCAACAGGCTGCACGGGCCATTTCCAGGTCCATGACGTTTTCAGGCCAAAAGCTTGAAAACAAGGGCCTACAGGCCCTGTGTCGTTTCAGCCGGAAAGCCTGAAAACAAGGGCCTACAGGCCCTGTGTCGTTTCAGGCTAAATCAGGGCCTTTCCGGCCCTGAGTGTTTTCAGCCTGAAACTGAGGGCCATTTTCGGGCCCTCATTAGTTCGACCTGCCCTGAAACTCAGGCAACAAACTAGGGTTTTAGCATAGGCCATTTCGAGCCTGTTTTCAAGACAACCCCTGGTTGAGCTTCAACGCCAGGGTTTGGCACGTTTCGGCATTGGCAAGGGCAGCCTCCTGGACGGGCCAGCACTATATAGGACTGGCCCGCCCTGCAGGCAGGCAGGTAGTTCCTAGGTACTTCCCAGGCACGTCACGTGCAGTTCAGGAGGCAGGAGGTAGTCTTCAGGATTCGACAGCAGCACTCCGGAGGAGCGCTGCAGGAGTAGTAGCAGCGTTAGCAATAGTCTTCAGCGCTGGCCGCTAGAAGCGTTAGCTGTAGTCTTCAGCGCTGGGCGCCATAGCAGTTAGAGTAGTACTAGAGAGAGAGAGAGGTTGGGCGATGGCTAGAGGGACTTACCTGCAGCGCCATTGCTCCAGCTTCATCTTCCAGGTACCTGCAGCACAGCGCCATCTTCCCAGGTTAGTACCTGGCATATGAGAGAGAGAGATTCTTCTTCTTCCTCTTCTCAGTCCACCACCTCCTTCTCACCCTCTCGCTATCTGACTTCACTGCATCAGCAGACTACGAGAGAGAGAGAGAGAGAGAGAGAGAGAGAGAGAGAGAGAGAGAGAGAGAGAGAGAGAGAGAGAGAGAGAGCTTGGTGACATTTGGATCCAGACTCGACATTGGACTTCAGACATTTTGAAGAGGGATTAGTTGGGAATTGTAACGAGACTTGGTGTTGACGACTTTCCCTTCTCCCCCTTCCTCTTCTTTGTCTGATCCCCTCCTCTTCGTCTGTGTATGTCTGGACTTGGCACCTCCTTCCTGTGTATAGCGCCAGGCCCCATCACACCTCGTGATGAGCATGATGTATGTTTGGTCTGCGTTGAAACATTGAGTGGGCTAGTCTTTAGTATTCTAGCATTCTGCTTCGCTATCTTGTACTACGTGAAAGAGGTCAGTCCCGGTCAGGTCAGGACTTGTATCTAAGTCTTCCACTGCGCTGCACCACTTTGTATGTATCAGGATGTACACTGCTTGTTGAGATTTCACTTGCACTGCATTGTCCATTCAGTCCTTTTCATCACATTGCGGATCCTTGGGTTATATGTACATCGCCCAACTGGGCATGTAAGAGGGACTGATTGGCCACAAACGAAGAGGGTCGGCAGGAGCAGGACCCGCTAAGTCAATTGACTAAGCTGGCCCGACAGAAACGAGTCGGGGATAGGCTGAAAGATATAATGAAGGCAAGGGAATGCTTTGTCTGCCCTATCACCTTGTGGCGGACACCGGAGGAGATCAGATTGCTACTGGACGGAGCAACTGAAGTGCCCACCTTCAGCGTTGGTAAGCTGCCGCAGGATTAACAGGTATTAAAGAAGGTGAATGGGCAGGCGTGAAGTATGAACTAGTGGCACTCCCCCACGTGTCGGCCTTGAGGTTTGTTAGACAAACAGTGGATGGGAAGGAATATGTGGTGATCGTCTACTTCATGGAAGCCATACCCAAAAGGCCAGGCTCCCCGAGACTGCGCACGGAGGGATGCAATGGATACGTTTTGCTGATGCCTTCAGCCCCGGCCATCCCTCGGGATTATCAAGTCGTCCATGTGACCTCCCTTGCTATA